AGTTTCAGTGTTTTGGGGAGTCGCGTGTTCTTACTGTCAGAGTCCCGAACTAGGAAGAAACAGCCGTCAAGTGATCTTCGGTTATCAATGATTATTCGGCTAACATCATTTCACGATGAAAATCATATACAGAATGCACTTTACTAGTAGTAGAATAGACTGTAACAAATTATTTTATTCTCGTTACTTTACGACATATCATTTACGTAAAATACTTTTGGATATCCATATTTCTTATTTCTTGCAAAAGATGAATCTTGAGTTCGATTCATACTTTCTCAGATTTACAAGTTATGACTGACGTCATTTCGATAAGTATTGTATCTAAAATTTCTTATTGTATAAATAACAAAGTAACTGTAAGAAATATTATCTTATAAGTTTGTTGATATAATCACGTTCTAAGTTGTCGAACTGTTCATCGGTACAAAAATTGTATGTATTTTAGTAGAATGCCAAAAGCTATGAGTAATTTAATGGCGTAGATAATTCATTTTCAACCGTCAGATTAGGGCTGGAACCATGTTCCAAACATAGAGGTATATCAAGCGGCCACTACAGTAGCCTATTATACTCAAGTTGACTAGAGTGTACATTGGTTCTCTAGGTAAATTTATTTTCATTTTTGTAATATATAAAAAGATAATATTAGATGAAAAGCAATTGATAGCTTTCTTCTATACAACGTTTTACACCTTACAAGTAGACAATATGTTGACTACTCAAACATGATATAACTAAGTATATTGGCTTTTAAAATATCAACTGTACTCTCGAAGCAATTAATAACTATCATACGTTATAGCAATAATTTGTTTGTGAAAACTGAATCAATTAATATCCAACCAGTTATAAGTTTGGCAACTTATCATCTATGTAAAAAACACGTTTTATTTGGATAAATTATAACTAAAAGAAATAACCAAGTGCCTGAATCTTGTCGTGCGTAAACTGTGAAGGTTTTGAATGTCAGTGTCCATGACTTTAGTACTTTTCTAACTAGAATAAAACAAATTTTCATTTTTTTCATTGTTTTGACTCTTCTATTGATTAATGTTAGTTGGGAACAAGAAAGATTTTCAAGATTGATAAATAAATTCAAAATTACCTACCTTGATAATAATTATATTTACCTGTTTTTCGGCAAATAGAAATTATAACTGGGGAACTCTTCAGCTTAAAAAGTTATAAATGTAACAAAAATATGATCAAATAATTTAGAGGATTATAAAACAGTATATTGGATCAAACTCATACATTTATCAACAGGACACAGATAAGTAGGGTATTTATTATTTATTTATTTGTACACATAAATATTGGTACAAAGGGGCACCATATATATATATATATATATATATATATATATATATATATATGAGCTGCACAAATCTCATTTGATTTGTGTGAGAGCTGTGATACTGCCCAGGTGCCCAGACTGAAGCAGGTGCTTTTATTAGGGGGCCACACCCGGAGCTTCGACTTATAGATCTGATCCACAAGGCAATAGAGCATCATAGGGAGATGCAGTCCCATGGTAGCCGTTGACCAACAATAGGTTCATACCCCATTCGTTCCATCAGGATAATGGAGCCCATATGCACTACTGGTTTGGAATCAGGGTTTTCCAACTCCCCTAGGTGAACTTTCCATGTCCACCAACCCGGTTAAAGCGCCGGACATTCGCTTTTCGTCCTCTCACTTTCGTAAACAACACCCCCGCCACGAGAAGGCAGTGAGTAGGATTTCCTTGTCAGAGGCTATATACGCGTGGCCAAGTGAGAGCATTTCGAGAGGGAGAGCGGACTCTCCATACTCTCGGCCGTACCAGGGCATTTGGGGGCTGAGTGCCAATATTTTTTTCACTTGTTTAAAATTTGGTATATAGAATAGGAATTAATCCTATCATAGAACTTTGATTAAATTTATCAAACAGCTTGAAAGAATGATTCATTGTATGTTAAAAAATTTTAAAAATCAGCTAAATGTTTTATACACAATACTAAAAATATGATTATATATGGAGATGGTCACCATTATCCATTCATAATCAAAAATTTTAAAATATCCAAACTAATACAAATTCATACTTCTAGAGGAATTACTTTTCTACAACAGTATAAATAAATCGGACCTTTGACATGGAGGTATCGATTATTCAACATTCTACTTTTATAGAATTCACCCTACCTGCCATCTCGTGGCGGGGGTGTTGGTTACGAAATCCAGAGTACGAAAAGCGAATGTCCAGCGCTTTAACAGGGTTAGTGGACATGGAAAGTTCACCTAGGCCAGTTGGGAAACCCTGATTCTAAACCAATGGTGCAAATGGGTTCCAGTATCCTGAAGGAACAAATGGCGTATGAACCAATCGTCGGTCACCGACTACCATGGGACTGCATCTCCTCACGATGCTCTACTGCCTTGTGGATCAGACCTTTATTTCAAAGGCTCTGGGTGTGGCCCCCTAATAAAAGCACCTGCTTCAGTCTGGGCACCTGGGCAGTATCACAGCCCACATACAAATCAAATGAAATTTATGTGGCGCATATATATCTGGTGCCCCTTTGTACCAATATTTATGTATTCGAATAAATAAATAATAAATTGGCACTCATTCAAAAATATGAATTGAAGTCGAGTACAATTAGTAAAATTTTAACAAATCAATCCTTAACTCTTATTTAACACGAAATTTATTAATATTATAGATGTATTTACTCTATGACAAGTTGATTTTACAAAATGATATAAAATCTATGTATAACCTATAAATGATACAATAAATGATCATACTCTACATAATTACATCCCCCTTTTATTTTCTTTTTCTCCCTCTTTTAATTTATCAACCAAAATAAAAGTAATGAGTCAATATGTTATTTATTCCTGTAATTTTTTTTAATATAAAAAAAACTAATGCACTTTTGTTTATCCAGTTAAAATAAAATAATTCATTTAATTATTTTCATTACAAATTACAATGAAGATAAGAAGTAATATTTTTTTTCTAAAATGAAAGGAAAATTTAATTTTGAAAAAAAGGAAAAAAGATTTTATTTTTATTAAATTATAATTTGCTTTATTCATGATAAAAATTATGATGCATAATAATAATAATAATCATATAAGTGCATGATATTTTCAACAGTGCATTATTAGGAGAAAAAATAAAAATAAACAACGAACAAACATACAAACGAACAAACAAATTGTGATATGTTGATTAAATTATTTCTTTTTTTTTTCTTTCTTTTTTCTTTTTGTCCTGAGAAGTAATGAATAAACCACCAGCTGGTTAATTTGAAATTAGTTATAATGTTTAGGACATTGAACTTATATGCTTTATTTCTTATAAACAATGTACTGTGAATTACGGAAATATATAGTTTATTTGAATAGAATCTTATGCAAAGTTTTACAGGTTCAAATTGTTAATAATTTGTAGTTGTATAGACAGAAAAAAAGAAATTTGTAGCAAAAAAATAGCAACATTATTAAGAAGCATAACTATAGAAAACAAAACAGAAAACAAATATAGACTGAGTAATATGATCCATAAAGGTATGAATACATTTATGACATAAATTTGATTCACTGGATAATTTTTAACAAAATAAAAGACAGAGAGAGAGATAGAGAGGATTAAATGTATTTCCAGGTTTCTTATAAGATGTAAATAACTCAATATTACAAATAATAGTATGATTGAGAATTAGTAAAGTTTGTAATAGTAAGGTCGATCAAATTGAAATAGAAGTTGTTTTTTTGATATACCACTCAAAAGGAACATTATGCATTGTAATTGAGAGTGATGAATATTTGCATGTAAAAAATGTAACTAATTAAAGTAGGTGTGGTGGAATCATAAGATATTGAAAATAACAATAAATGTTTACATAACTGAATGGCAAGAAATGAATAGAATTAAATCAAATGGTGAAAACCTGCGAATAGATAAAAGTGAGGGCATACGATAGATGAAATTTCTTCAAGACAATCAAGTTCAACACATTTTCCTTTTGTAACCTTAAGTTTACCTCATGTTGATGATCAATTCAAAGCAAATCAAGAGTGATGTTCATTGTTTGTTAGTCGTTTCGAATGCGTTATAGATATCCACTTGGTATGGAATATTCATTAGCTGTCTAGGGACTATATTTATAGGGACGTTTCTTTTCATGGATATATTTAGAAGAACGTGTCCTGAATACCTTGTAAGAACCCTTCAGTACTTCTCATGTACTTGCTCTCACAAGCACGCGTAAATTCATATACGCAACTGTAGCTGACTACGTAAGGTTATGTATTTTGTTTTATTAATGCTATATCACTCAAAAGATCCAGTAATTATTTCCTTAAATGCTTCAATCACGAAGATAGTTTACATTTCTCCAAAAAGATCAGGTTACTGCTAAGTAAATCTTCCGAGTGATACAATGTCTTTTTAAAATTACTTTTAACTTTGATTTCAGTTGTATATAGGTCTAAAGAATGAATTTGAGTACGTCTGTTTTAAACAAAACTGGAAGTATATTATTATATTAAGGGAATAAAAACAGGTAACTCAGTAATTTTGAAATTCGCATTTTCATAATATCAAGCTATTGGAAATAACCAAACAATGGTATATTAATAGTTAGCTCATCATTGACTTATTTAAAGATGCTCCTTGAAATCAAGTGAGAAGTTGTGACCGGTAGAGTTCATAAATGTAGGACACTAACTTCGTGGTATTTATGATTAAGGGTTCATCAGAAAACCTGAAGATCTTATCAAAAGTTAAAAAGAATTGAAACTTACGTTCATTCTAATATGAAGAATTCCCAGCATTGAGCTACATGGCTGGAAAGTTGAAAATTAACACGAAATATATATATATATATATATATCATACTGATTTTAGTAAAATTTATAAAAGAAAAACAGAGTTCTGTAATTAATCCAAAAATTTTTTTATATTTCAATTTATTTTTCTTTGTATATGAATCGTCTATCAGAATCTGATCTGAGATATACTGGTGAGTAGAATAAATATTTTTCTTAGTTGTATATTTATACTTTGTTAGTTTTATTTGATATTTTTTCAGCAAATCATTTTGTTTAAATGATGTGATTTTGAACAAAAAATTTTTTTTATTTTATTATTTAAAATTATCAGTTATTTGAGGGGATAATAGTCTTGAGATGAAGTGAACTAAATTATGACTTGCATTCTAGTTGTCTTGAGAGCCTAACCACTTTTCCTATATTCCCCGTTGCTGAGATTTCGATAAGAAGTAAGAAGACCTGTCGACTTTATTATACAATGAACAGTTTTTATGAAATAGATGAGATATCTTAAAATCCATTAAAAGTCAAGCATAACGAGCACCTATTTGGTTTGTTGCTTTATATTTATCTTCCATGGGTGATAAAAGTAAATAGTGTATCATGTGGATTGTTGGAGTTCGACCTGAAGCTTGATGCAAAGAGAGCAAAGAGTCTGATAAAATTTTAAATTCGCGGTAACTTGGGTAATAGGGATGTGCATTGTTCAATATACCCGACTGCTGCTACCAAGACGTGAGATTATAACTGGTATTTTAATTCATAAACTAAGTTTAGGGTGATCAAGTAAGAATAAAATACTTATCCATGACTTCAGTAACTATTAGTTTGGGCTATATAGAATAGTGTATATATGTTATTTTCAACACGCTGGACAATGAAATAAGTTGGTCGAATTCAAACTGTCTTTCTGCCATAAATTTATTCAGAATTTTATTTATTCTAAATCTAAAATGCCGTTATTTTCTACTTCTTATTCGTATTCACTATTTACTGTATCATTTTAGTTATTAATCGCAAGTATATTTATTATTACTTTATCTTACTCTTGTTCTCTCTTTCTATATACATATATATGCAAGCCAGATCCCAAATATTTTTGTTTGCCAATAATTTTACAAAAACTAAGGCGTTAAATGATTCTTGTCTCACTGTAGTTCTCTATCTAATAACCTATGATACTTTCAAGTAAATTCAAAGTTAATTTAACGAAATGTAATTTTTTGACTGTTTGAGCTCAGTATTTATTGTGGACGTTTATAACAATAAAAATAATTGTATTTCATCATGTTTCTCAGATTTTGTAAGACAAATAATTTATTATCAGAATGGGGGTTTGTAGAGATTCGAGTAATTGTAACAGTTGAATTTATGAGTCGATGTAAGCTAGACCATGATTGAAAACCTGGAAGCACAGGACGGCCGCTCCGTCCTGGTATGAGACTCTTCAACAGTGTGCACCTACGATTCCGCGAGTGTGATTCGGACCCAGGACATTCGGTCTCATACGCGAACACTTAACCTCCAAACCACTGAATCGGCATCCCTTTCTGACCATAGTTGTCATATGCTCACTAATGATTGGCTTCAAGATTTCCAGGAATCTAGTGACAAACCGTGACCAGTAGATTCCAATTTGTGTCGGGTAGAGATAGGTATCTACCGCAGACAATGAATGAATGGTTGAGCAAGACCATGGATCCGTTGGAGTTAGACATTAACGCTGTTGGAAGCTGGCTCAGTGGTCTAATGGTTAAGTGCTCGCGTGCGATACCCAAGGTCCTGGGTTTGAGTCTCGTGTGCGGGGTCGTGGATACGCACTGTTGAGGTGTCTCGTACTAGGACGGAATGGCCTTCCAGTGCTTCTAGGTTTTCATTGGTGGTCTAGCTTACATCGACTCATGAAATCAACTATTAACAAAGTAATTTATTAACAATCGAAAGTCTGATATAATCTCCTCTTGGTATGAGACTTGTGCTTGAGAACGTTACAACCATTAATAACAAATAATTTTCAGAATCCATTTTTAAATTCCTCAATTTCGCCATGAATCTGGACATACATCTAATATATATTTACTAACATTTTATGCTAGCCACACTGTTCCCTTTGAAGATAGAGTTTACTTTCATACATTACGGATCCTTGTGGTAATCTCCATGACTGAGAACGAATTTTTAGTATACGAAATTGTCAAATGTCTAATGATGTGAACATTCGTTGTCGTGTAAATCTTCGGAAAAAAGTCACTAGTTTAAAAATATCAGTGATTATAATCGGTGGTAACCATCTTTCATGGTTCTGTTGATTTTCGTTTTACAAGGCTAACACTATATGATTTTTATTTCACTTGGCTTTTTAAAAATAATCATATTAGAATATCTGAATAAAATCAAATACGAATGTAGAAAAACAGTTAGAAACTGTAAAATCTTATCAGTATTTTACATGAAACTACTTATTACCAGTTTGTGTTATTTCACTGGTTAAATAAATGAATTATAGAAAGGATTGAATTCGTGTTGAATAAACAGTCCAGTAACTAGGTACTTCCTTTATTTGCGTTAAACCTTTGATAATTTCTACATGATGTATCTTTGCTTATCATGACTTGGTGAACACAACCTTCTGTTTTATTATGCAAGTAAATTATACTGGCCTTGAAACTGAATCTCCTAAGAAAATATTATTTCCAGTTTGAATTTGTAGGTAAAAGTTTTGGGAATAGATCTTAACAACTTTGATGTCGTCTAGTAATTAATTCTATATTATCAGTTTTCTATTATTACGACTCTATTCTATTCACTTTTAAAATTGCAATGATATTAAGGTTTATTAGGTGGTCTTTAGACTGAGCTTTTACTTGTCCAACATTTAAAATCGCTACTGACGAATACTGGTAATTAAAGTGAACAATAGTTAATAACATCGTCAGTAATATCCTAAGTAATCTGTCTCATAATGAACTGCCCATTCATTTTTTATTATAAATCAGGTAAGAATAAAAGTTTGATTTTTTTTAATGATTTGATATATCTAATGTTTATTTATGGTACAGTATTGTTTGTTTGAGTAATATCTTTCTAACTTCACTAAAAGTAAAAAGTTTATATTATTTATACCATTAATTAAATTAAATAACCTCAGTTAAACAGAAACTGAACAGGTACTAAGGTATTAGGTTTCTTCTTAATGAAGTAATATTATTCACTTAAATTCTACTATATCTGTTGCCGAACACTAACTTTTCCGCTGCCTAGGTTATTGGGTTCTTTCATTATTATTTCCTCAAGACGTTTATTGTAACACATTTAAAACTGGTGTCATCGTAAACTTACTGGAGAAATATACCACGATATATTGGCTAGAAAACATGAGCTGTGAAAGAAAAAAAACAGTGAATATATGATGTGATGTTACCAAATAAAATTCATATTTACCATCCCTTATTTCAGTCGGTTCGATAATTTGTTTATTACGCTATTTGAATTCTAGGTTGTTCAACAATCATGTATTTCATTTTTTTCAATGAAATCTTACAACACTCTTGTTTTGTCAAGTCATGCTAGTAGGCTTTTCATTTATACATTATCTGATAAAAATAAGCTTTCTGTTAAATTCGTCAACATCTGCGAAGTTTTATTAAGATCAGGAACCAATCTAATTTAGACAACCAATGAAGATCAAGAAACTAAAGAAATATTCGACAAATGAATATGTGGAACTATGAAGTTTGGTACATCCATCCTTCAAGATTCTAACAGCTTTAGTGAATTCAGGATAAATCTCAGCACCACGTTTAAAGCTTTATGAAGTCTAAGGAAGGGAAAATGCACATGGAGATCAACTGGAAAGGGATTGAAGAAGAAATAGCTTCAACATGCCTGAAGGCAACTGGCCCCGATAAGCACTAGAATGAAGAGTGGATCTCTGTAGACAACCTGGGAAAGATAGTAGAACAGAGTGATCAGTCAAGAGCGAAGAAGGTAAACCAATCACTGAGGTTTAGAAACAGCGAAACAGGTAGGTAGAGAGGTCTGAAGAGATCTTGAACTGGTAAGCTCCAGCAAAACCCAGCGGACATCGAGTCAGCACACAAGGACCCCTCTATAAATCATATTGCACCAACAATCTAAATCAGAAAGCTCATCAGACAAATAAAGAATGGGAAAGCAGTAGGATTAGACGGAATACCATCTGAATCACTGAGATAAGATATAGAGTAACTTCAAAGACAATCCACGTTCTCTTTTGAAAGATTCGGGAAGAAGAACAAGCACCTACAAACTGGCAAAAGAAGAGCCATATCAAAGAACACACGGTGTTAGGAATCAAAGACAGACATTGAGACCATTATAAGCACTTGACAACAATTAGAATGGAAAGACCAGGATAGAGGTGGTTGAAGATTCCTGGTTGGTGCCTGTGCTTAAAGAGTGGTAACAGGTTTAAGTGCTATTAATAACAGTATTGGTATGGGACCCCTCAGGAGAGGTCATCAGCCACCCACCAAAGACTGAACTTAAAACCCTAAGCTCTCATGGCGAATGCTCAACCATTAGGTCAATTAACCGGTACCTGTTGGTGTACATATCTAACTTTAATCACACTGCTGAAAAGATGCATACTAGGATGAAAAAGCAGTTCAATGCCTCTTGTTTCTCAACGGTTGTCTAACTTAAGTTAATTCGTGATCTCGTCAACATTTAGCAATCTCCGCAAACATCTTTACCGACATATACGCAACTACCAAACCTCATGTTTTTCATTTTCTTATATTTTGTTTATTTTTATTTCTAACAGTTGATCTTTGAGAATGATTTTATTTGTTTCATGTATTCCAGGTCCTGTAGTATGTAAACGAAAAGAATCAGAACATATCAAGTTGTCAGAAAGTCGTCAGCCTAAAAAGCCACGTCTTGTTTTTACCGATATACAAAGACGAACTTTGCAGGCTATATTCAAAGAAACCAAGCGACCTAGTAAAGAAATGCAGGTTAGTTAAGTTTTGAGAAGCTAAAAGAAAGTTTCTTATTGTTTCATATCGTGTACGTGATTATTCAGTAGTTGTGACAAAATAATTGAACATTTTTTTCTGGGAAACATTTGATTTCCATTCAGTTTTTAAAAAAAATTCCAAGTTAACTTTCCATTATGGTAAATTAGATTTTCAAATCTAAAATGTTGAGTTTTGTAAACAAATGCATATGTTGTCAGGAATTAGTGATCTATCTGAATCCATTATGACTCTGTCACTTCAATGGTTTCCGAATGGACTCAGTAAAATTCATGCACAAATTGTTTTTTAAGTATATCATGTAAGTAAATAAGGATTTCTGGTTTTTGATAAGAACTATGTGCACATCATTTCTTCAAAACATTCTGGGAACAGTTTATGAGATTTACTATCAACATGAACAATGCAGAGCTTATTCCATCGATATATCGATTCAAGTTGTTGGATTTTGAAACAACAGATTTCTAACTAATATTTGCTAGCTTTTCAAAAACCTAAACAACGTTAACTACTAATGAACGGTGATTTTATGAACCTTGTGTACTATTAATATACAACTACCTTGAAATCCAAGTGTCGTATTTAGGCCTTTAAAACTAGAAGTAAACAAATATCTATATTAATTACTTGACTAGGCAACCATATTCAAGCATTCAAATCACTTATATAGTAAGTCTTCTAATTTCGATTAAATCTTATCCAATGTGACTAAAATAAGCAAAACTGTAACCTGTTATTTGGATTATTGTGATTCATCTGACCAAAGGTCCTAAGTAATGTTTTAATCAAATGATTTCAGACAACATAATCGGTAAGAAATATATAAGGCAATTTACAAGCTATTCAACAAAGCATTTGGCAGTATATTTAATATTAGGTAAAATCTAAGTTTCAAAACCTAGTCGACCTCAAAGCAGTAATAAGTTATATGGGACTAGTGTATCAGATACACTTTTATATTGTATCTTCTCAAAGGCTGACAATTTCACTGTATTTTACAGGTTTACTCATCCTACTAAACTCTTTTAATGACTTTTTTCTGACTTCACTAATTATTATACTATGCGTAGTTGAAATTAATTGATTTCAAGATAAAGCTTAATAATTATTATTGACTTATATGGTTTTTTTCATTATCGATAATTCGACAAATAAAAGATAATACTACCACTATTACTACTACTACTACCAAAAAACAGAAAATAACTAAAATTAAAGGTAATGAACGATAGTCTACAGAATCAACTTATTGTGATTACCACATTTTTAAAAAAAAGGAACCCAGTCTAATTATCCTTTTTGAATAAAGCAAAAAAACGACGATGATAATATGTAGAGTACAAGGAAAAAAAGATGACAATAACGATGTCCAGTCTGCTAAATACAAAATAAAACACTCCAAAAAAACATTATTTAGTGTTATAAAGGTGAGAAATATTTTTCTTTTGTCATTATAAATGAGAAATGATGTGACTGGAAAATAAAACATCAACATTGTATAAAGCATAGGAAAAACAAGAAATAAGGGTAATACTAAACAGTATTAATAGTATCAATAATAATAATAATGTTAATGGTGAAAAAACTGCTTCTTTCGTGGGAATATGTCTCTGGATAGTACACCTGGCTCACGCAAATTAAGACCACACTCTTAAAAATCGAGTTGTATCTCTACTTTTTTTCTTCTTTTCATTCTCTGTTATTTTTTTCTATTCTTTTGCAACTCTTAACTGTTTTATATGTTGAGAATAGTTTAAATAAAGACTGGTTTAGTTAGTGGGTGTTGGTATGCTTCATTAAAAGATTATTTACGTGAGTATACTTGTGTAAATGAGTGTGCTTCACCATTTACTCATTACTTAATCGTGTACCTATAAATAAAAATGTATATTGTTATCCTGTGAGTCCATGTAGCCATATATGTGTTTGTTTATATATTTGTGATTGGACATACAGTGTAGACAATATATGTAATAATCCGTTCATGATAATCACGACGATGATAATAATAATAATGGTGACTATATTGCCAACTATAAATTGATGATGACATATAAACGAACGAACTGAAATAATAACGGTAAATTTCTTGAAATACTATTAAATATAAAATATATCATACACCTCTATAAGATTAGAACATTTGAAACTGTAGAAATTAAAGTACTAATGAAATGAATTATTGTTCAATTTCCAATAATGCCAGTTATACAAACGGAAAATGTTGTTTAAACATCAATTATTATGTTTCAGGGATTAGATTTCTAAAAAGTTCGCTTAATTGTTGGGAACTTTTTTGAAGTTTAGTTTATTCTATAAATCCTCTACATCTTTGATTGAAAATAACTGGAGGCCCATTGAGAACCGGTAAGTAATAAATAGCTGTTTCTTCTCAGTATAAGACTTCTTAGCATTGCACAGTAGAAACTCAGCTAATGATTGAATAAGGGACGAACGAACCTCTCTAAGGGATCTTAATATTGTGCTCACTGAGCTGGGACTCCATATAAATTTTTTATTGATCTTTTTTTATGGACTGATTACAATTCGAGGACCAGTGAAAACAAAGCAGCATTGAACCGTTTTTGTTTTATTGTTTCGAGTTTTTCATCATTGGATGCTGATTGCATCAGTGATTGTTTAACTGAAGTCGGCCTATATCTTATAAGTGAACTAATGTTCTCAAAAAGTCGATAAAACAATTTGATTTTACATTTATTTATAATTTTCTAGTCTACAATAGCTCAACAACTTGGATTACAAGTTTCAACAGTAGCAAATTTTTTTATGAATGCTCGTCGTCGATCACTAGATAAATGGCAAGAAGATACGAGTAAACTGTCGAGTACGATTAATTCACCATCGGATTCCCCATACAGTCGTAGTGAAGAACATGGGCAACAGTCAAGTATGATCCATAATTTATGTTGTTCACAAGATGGTGATTTCAGTAATTGCACACCTTATTCATTACCATGTAGGCGTCAACCTGGATGTTCACAATCAATTAATACTCCAGTATCAACATTAAAAACATTGGATAATAGTTTCATTCCAGGGAATCCAACAGAATTGGAACGAATGACACGAAGTAATAGTTTAGCTTCTTGTAATAGTTTTACAAAACCTAGTAATCATTTACCATTAACTTCGAATCTTGCAAGAACAGTATTAAGTAACAATAATGATAAAATTGATTTATTTAAATGTGATAATTCAAGAAATAATATGATCACATTAGAACACAGTACATTTAATGCACTGAATTCAACTGATAATCCTTCAACTATTCCAACTGTTATTTATGCATCACAAGATTCAACTTGTGAACAACAACAAATGGATGCGGAAAATTTTTCAAATAATTACTCTTTACATTTAACAACACAAATTCAACATTCATTTCCACATCAACTACAATCACAACAAGAACATCAGCAATCACAGCAGTCGAATCCTTCTCCTTCTCTTCTTCATCGTCATCATTCACAGAGTTCATCGCATCCTATGAATACACAATTAGTACCATTATCTTCATCTTCATCATCAGCATCATCATCGCATCACTTGAGGTTTCCATTGGATATATTAGATCAGAATAATGGTACTAATAAATGCTCAACTGGCAATAGTAGGTTACATAATTCTGAGCATGAAACTATTCATAATAATAATAGTAGTAATAATAGCCACAACCTAACTAAATCAATTTATCCATATTGCAATTCACAAGCAAATTATACATCCCCTGTATCAGGTAATTTACATTTACATCATGCGCATTTAAATCTATTCAATACTGCTACTCCTGCTAGTACTGCTCCTGCTACTGCTACTACTACTACTACTACTGCGACGACGATGACGAATGTCAGTAGCAATAATCTTATGCATAACAATAATAATCAGTTTCTAATGCGTGATTTAACTGATAGTCAACAGTTTGATCATCGTTTCTTAAGTACGATGACCAGTGGGCAGTTAACATTAACTGAACAAGCTTTAGAACTATGCTCTTCATTAGCTGCTGCCAATGCTATCTCATTTAATAATAATAACAATATAATTCATTTGACCAGTGAAAAACCAAATCATTTCCATGCTAATTCAGAAATAAAACTTTCACATGAATTAAATGGATCAGTCGATATAAACAATATTGTTTTGAATAATAATAATATTCGTACTGAAAATGATGTGAAAAGTACAGACAGATTGACAAACGACATTAGTAATGATAACAATAATAATAATAGTCATGAGGATAACAATGATGATCAACACTGTCACCGCCAACAACAATATCACCAAATAGATTTAATGAGTAAATTAAATTTATCAATAAATGAATGTAATCAACTACGCTTACTACCATCAAATGATTTATCCAGACGTCTCTATTTCTCTAATAATGAGTTTATCGATCAGATGAAACAAACAAATAACGAAATAATTGATCAAAATAATGATACAAATAATAATAATCTCGATGAAGTTGAAGATCAAGATGAGTGTGTTGAAGACATAGATGATGACGATGACGAGGAGGAGGATGATGAGGAAGATGATAACGAGGAGGAAGTCCATGCAGAATTATATGAGGATGAGGCGAGGATCTCAGAAGAAGAAGATAACGATGACGATGTTAATACAATAAATAGAGACAAAAAACAATGTACGAGACATGATTTGAATTCTAATTCAAATGACTAACTCATTTTTATTCCTGTTATTAGGTATCCAAAAAGAGGACTTCGAAGTATATCTTTCATAATTCGTTCATACTTTTTATGTGAACCCGCAAACTGGTACCGTTACAGTTGTAGTTTCATGAAAAAATTAATCAGAAATCAAAGTGTATCCATCATTATATTCATGAACTGATTGATGAACACAAGACTTTAAATAACAATTAGTAATCGTTTAAGTCATATCTACGTTTATCCTTTGTTTAGATATCTGTTAATTGTCCCCTAATAATCAGTAGTATGTTTTAATGTTGAATCAAACTGAAATATAATGTTCACTGTTGAATCTCTCCGTAAAATGTGTTTTTTTCCTTTTAATAGATCAACTTTTGTTGCACTTTCTTATTTTTATATTTGTGTGCATTTGTACCGACTGTTCTTCTTTACCGTTTCCTCTTTAACTGTTTTGCACGTTTGTGTTATTTCTCTCGTTAGTTTACTTTTATTTATTCATATTTTTCAATATAGTTAGTTCAACTACTTTTTTTCACTCAAGTATTCTCAATTTCTTATTTTCTTTGGAAAAAAAGATTTTGTTCTGTCTGAATAAATTATCATTACTATGTAGGTGTATAGGCTGATACAAAAAGATGGAGGTAATTAGTGATAGCAATGGTAACATTAATAATAATGACAATAAAAAATATAAAACACAACAGTCTTTCATAAAAACAAAACTGCATTCAAAATCACATGAGACATCCTATGTAATAAAGAGTAATAGACATCAGTTTTATTCTGGTCGTTATGTATTCATATATATGAGATATGTTACATGTACTTATTTATGTTTGGGATTCTTTCATTCTGTATCATATATAATTGAAAAAAAGGTGTACAAAAGTAAAGTAATTAGTGTATAGTATAATTCTTCGATCAATCCCTCTTATTTATTATTCGTAACCATTAAAATTATTGTTTGTCAAATCCCTGTATCTTTTTCTTTCTCTACAATAGTAAATACAATGTGAACGTTTACATATTCTATCTAATAAGAATAAATCTTATTTTATACGGAACTTTATTAATTGATCTTTAGATCATTGAAAGATTAATAATCGTTAATTAGTATTAATACCTCAATAAATGTAAAGTATTCATATTTCTCTATAAATTCAATCTTATGTGTATGAAATATGGAAACAGTATTGTTTTGTTTAAAGATATGTTATAATGTCTTCCATAATGTTTACCGAGAGGGGGGAGAAAGAATGAAAAAAAACTAAAGATATAATAATTGAAAAAAATAAAATAAAAAAAGATGACCGTTAATTTATACACAATATTTTTGCTTTTTTTTTTTAAATCTTCACAAAAGTGTCTATGTATGAATGTTTATATCGTAAATGTGATGTTTAAAACTCGGTGTAATAAATAAATAAATAGATTACCATTGTAAAAAAGTAAGAAGAAATAACTAGGCATTGAAAAAAATAGATAGAAACCTTTTTTGTGTTTTGATGTTATCATAATATTTTATTGTTTCATGGAAGAGAAATAAATCACAGAAAATGTATTACACAGAAACATTTTCTCAATGTTAACCCCATTACCCTTTTTCAATTTTTGGGTGAAATTTTGTTGTTCTTTTCTCTTTTGTTTCTGTTTCTTCGTCTTGAATTTGTAGAATTATTTTTTATGATTCTTCTTGTCTTCCTCCTTCTCACACATTATTTCGCGTGCTTTTTTTCCACCTTCAAGTTTATTTGTTCTCAACTATTCTTAATGTTTTTTTGTTTTATTTTCAATCCATTTCAGTCTATTTTGTTTGTTATAAATTTCAGTAACAATATTTATATTTGTTATGATGATATGGTTTTTTGGTTTAAAAATCTACTTTATTTGATCTTGAGTTATTTATACATTGCAATATTTATATATACACATAAACAAGGTGAGGCTTTATTGGAATTCAATACCTTAATCTGATGTATATATAAATCGTTTACTAGGCGAACTTAACTGAATCGATATAGATCAATTTCTATTTGGTTTTTATGTTTTACAAGTCCTGATAACTAATTAAACTTTAATTAAACTTTTAATTAAACTTTAATCAAGATGTTAAGGTTTAATTCTTTACGAGAGTGATACAACTCAATGAAAGAAAACTAATGCAAACACGATGTAGAAGAGAAGTTAGAAATAAGCTTTCTCTACTAATGTCGGTGTTTTCAGATGTATAGCATTCTTTTATCAAAATAATTAGCACTTAGTTTTATAATGATAAATCTGAAAAAAAGTATTCAATTGACATATTGAAAAGGTTTATCAGATAGGAATAAGTGAAATATGATAACATATTATTGGTTTACTGTAAACTTACAGCTTAAGAATTTTAAATATTCTGATATAATTGTTGCATTGAATGGAAGGATACATAATTTATGCTACAGTTCTGAAGATTTCATTTTGATATGTGTTTAAATGTGAGAAAGAGTTATGTGAACTGTAATTGCAAACTATGAAGTTGGAACATTTTGAATAATATAGGTGTTTGATTGTATTAATATTAATAATCCTGATACTGCCTGACTTGGCAGTCTGGGGAAAATAATTTACAAAGCTGAACTGTATTAAGTCAAAGTATGGGTCAAGTGTTTATGAGTATGGGATTTTTAAGCACTACAGGTAAGAACGTTACGGATAAACTCAGCCCGTTTTCCATGTGAACTTTCAGTGTTGATTTAGCCAAATAAGATGTGAACAGATTATTTAATACTAAAAGCGTAGTAACTCCTTATAAATTCGTATTTTCGTAGCTGGTAATGAAAATGTTTTTTATATTGGATTAGTTGCTCGGTTTGTTAAAATTAACGGGCAGTGCATAAACAAAAACGAAATAAAGAGACGAAACTGTCCGTTGATGTGCTGACGCAATAAGTTATAAGAACAGGCCTAACAAAAGATGTCCAACGACTGTTTAAAGTTTTCATAAATGTTTTTATGCTCTGTTTATTTATAAAAAACTTTATAGCAGGCATATATCTAACATTTCTATAATTCTATCTCAGTTCTGACGGCGTAAATCGTATACATTTTATGTTAATCGAGTACTTCTCTGAATTATAAACTGCATCACCATAGTTAAAACTGTTTTTCTACTTCTTCATCCGTGATAACCTACTACTTATTTAAAACTTCCTGTTAGACGTTCACTAATTACCAGTATTTATTTCTGTACTATGCAGTATAACGTACTTGTAATGTTGCAAAAAGCTATTCGATTTTACAGGGTGTCGAACTTACAACAATCAATGTCACAGTCGAAGAAGAATTAAACTGCCAAGGGTTAAAGTTGAATCATTTTCTTCACATACTTGCTCCCCTCAGACAGTTGATTGTTGCGTTATTTTATCAGTATGGGGATTTGCGGAGGTAGTAATATTTTCTCGGTTGAAACCACAAGTCAATCTAAGCTAGACCACCATTGAAAACCTGGAAGCACTGGACGGCCGTTTTGTCATAATACGGGACTCTCCATCAGTGCTCATATGAATATAATTTATAGTAGATATATTTTTTAGCAAGGTGAAGTTAATCTAACTATAAAGTTATACAGTTTTCTAAATGCTATAAAGTTTAATGTTAACGGTTTCGTAATATTTATACGTTTCAATTGAAATCAATAATGAATATTACTGAAAAAATTGTAATTTCTTCATTACTACTATTTTAAAAGTCAGACTTATTTTCCTCTAGACATAGGATTATCATTTTTTTAATTGGTTACGTGTATTCGTTTATATCTATTCGACGAATTTTTGTTGTTGTGTGTGTGTACCTGCATCACTTCTGTAAAATACAATTAAAATGACAAAAAATAACTGAAATGATTTTTTTCTCTCTTATAACTTCTACTATCCAAAACCTCTAGAGATTAAAATCTGAACTGATTAAAGCATATTGATGTAGATTAACTGGACGAAGATTGAATGCATACACACATATGGACGCGGATTTGGAAAATGTGAGGAAAAATGTATGAAAAAAAATCTTGCTCATCTAATTACTTAATCAATAGAAAATAAGTCAGCTTGACTAATCAAATATTGTGATGACCTTATATTTAGTTATTTGTTTTTTAGTTTATCTCTAAAACTATTACCTTTTCTTCAGAATGATTAATTACTTATAAATATTTTTAGTCTTCAGGTTAATTTATCATTGAATTTTTATTTAGACGTTAAATGAAACTTCCCATGAAACAAGATAGGTAAAGTGAAAACAGTGGATTTAAGTGATAATGAAGTAGCATTGTTGCGTTGATACAATGAATCGTTGATTGATTACTGATGTGCTTGAACTTCACAGATCGAGTGAGACTTTTAAAAAACGGTAAACATGTTTTATCGATGATTAATTATATAATCAAGAAGCATGGATTCAGGGTCTTTGGGTGGCTGTACTACAGCACCCAACACCAAACGAAATAATGTCATGATAAGAATCTGATGAACTCTGAGGTCACTGGATGTCAATTACCTTTCGATAACCTCTTGTGCTATCTCTACGTATACTCATTTCATCCCAGAAGATTCAATTAAACACAGAAGTCACAAGTTTTCTTTTTCAATTGTTCTAAAGCGAGCTATTCTGCAAGTGAATAAGAATATCTGTTACATAACTAAGGTATTTCAGATATTCTCAACGAAGGAATAAAATTGTTTCCAATTTCAATATAAGAATAAGCTAACTGGGAATTTCTATGGGATCTGTGTATTGAACTATGGTAGATCTTTACTTAAAAGTGTTAATTATAAGTAAGTGATGAACTCGTTCATCCATAGTTTCCGATAAATAAGATGAAACTCCTTCTAAACCTAGACATATATTCCTGGTAAAATTGTTGTAATTTATCTTAGGAAAGTAAAGTGTTCCTTGTGGGGAGCCAATCATTTCTTGTACATGAACAGTTGCTTTATAACTATTTAAGATAATTGTTTGTCAAGTGAATATAAACAAATGCATAGGTCCACATCATTCATATCATTCTTTACTCTGACTGTAACTTATCGTATTTATAAACAAACATGTTTGGGTCCCTCACAGGCAGGTTCTTTATGTTATACGTACGAACCAATGACAAAAAACACTCCTTTCATCAGCTTAAATTTGTGTTTATTAATCAAATCTGTCTGTTTACAGAAGAATCAAAGTTCTACTTAGCAGCTTTTATGGTAATTTAGAGAAATGAATATCGTGATATTGTTTTATTGCTTAGATTCTTTTATAAACTATAAATTCAGACAGCCATTCCAAAAACGTTTCGTACGGAGCTGTATATTGTATGTTGTCATCATCAGTTAACCGTTTTTAGACATCCTATATTACAAGTGAATGTAAAGTGGCAATTTAGATAATTCGATTTCAAGCAATGCCACGAACACAATGCACATTCAACCTTCATCGATTTTGCAAGTTTGGTAGTTTGTCTCACAATAAAACAGTCTAAATCAAAGTACATAAACCTAATCTTTATTTCTGAGTTGAATATCCTGCTTTTCTATATTACTTTATTATCAATTAAAAGGCCTTTCCTCTGTCTCACACATAACCAGTATCCACAGTTAGATTGAAATAAGCTTGTTTACTCCTGGAATTTTAAGTATGAATCTGACTCGTTGATGGCTTTAATCATAATCAAGAAACCTGAAAAAATCTGGTTCAACGCATATCGCGTTTCTTTGATTAATACTATTATTTAAGTTTTGTATTTTCATAATTATATGAACCAACGATACCAGTAACTGTTGAAATGAAGACTGAAATACTTTCAGTAGCAAAGCCTAACTTCAATGCGAAATTATCCTGTATAACATCGTCTCACTAGACATTTTGCCAACGCCGCTCCAGGGATTGCCCGTGATTTGAAAGCAGAAGTTGAAATATAAGGTGTCATGGAGAAATATATTTCTCGTAAATCAAAACCAAAAACTATAGCGTAGAGTTCAAAAGGTTAGGGGAGTGTATAGAAAGTCCTTAACCAATCAGCGTACTGGCAAGTGAAACACAGTATCTAAGGGTTCAGACAAATGTTCTAGGGTACAAGAAATATGGCTACTACATACTGGAGAACAGACAGTTACTTATATACTTGTAATAAATATTATTGGATAACATCCAAAAGTTGGGGAATAAATGGAAGAAATCAATAGGTGTAAAACATTTTCAACACCGTCTAATTTTGTTGGTTTCTCGAAGAGGTATCATAGTTTTTTGTCGTATACTCAGCGGTGTATGAAATTCTGTTAGACAAATTACATTACTTTCATTTTGATGAAGCACTACTTAATCTGTGGATTTATTATTTTGATATATGTAATTGAATAGATAATTTTCAAATCTTTTGATGAATCATATTTAATAAGTAGGCGGGTTGATAAGTAGATGTTTAATGCATAAAATATAATCTTTAATTAGTAATTACTAAAATACTTTTCAAGTATGCCCTGAAGTCATAACTTTAAAATTGTATGTTATTTTGACAGGAATGGCTTTATTGATAATGAAGAAATAAAGAAAAGATCATTCATTGATAGGTTGCTTTGAGGGCAAATAAATCAACCGAACCTAATCAACTTTTAAATTATTCCGCGTTTAGGTATGAATTCCCCCTTTTTTGATATTCAGGAGAAAACTCGGCCAGTTCCTGTAGACAATCACTGTTAAACCCCCTTCAATACTTACTTGCTTACGCCGATTACCCCCAATGGAGCATAGACCGGTGAACAGCATTCTCCAACCCACTCTGTTCTGGGCCATCATTTCTACTTCTATCCAACTGTTGTATATTCTTCTCATATCTGTTTCCATTTCTCAGCGTAATGTGTTCTTTGGTCTTCCTCTTCTCCTTTGGCA